TAAATCATAAACATATAAACCAATCCATGTAAATCTATTGAAATATCAGATCAAAAATTGTTTTAACTCATTGTCCTAACTTAGCCAGCCATGAAGGCGGCGATGAAAATAAAATATAAGAAGAAAGAACAGAGAACAAAGAACTTACAAAAAGCTTAGACCTCTGTCGGCAAGCTTGTTCGTCTTATTTCTTTTATTCACCACACGATTACAATACTGGAAAGAAGAAGTGGAAACTTAAGCCCTGCCTAAAGAAAACTCTGATTAATAAGAGAGACAGGCCTCTCTATAAATACTAAAAGAAACAAAGCCCTATTGAGGACAGCTGGCTATGACCGCTAATATTTTCCAAAAGAAAAAGTAACTTTATAAAAGTTGTCGGCTACTATCCACCGAAAGCAAACAGTAACTTTATAAAAGTTGTCGGCTACTATCCACCGAAAGTAAACAAATCTTTGACAAAATTGTCAAAAGCTGCTAACAGCTACTTACTCTGTTTGATAGAATCTTTGAGAGTTTCAAGGGCCTCATCAATAGAGATGACCAGCTCTTCGGAGCCTTCTAAACTCTGAGCATCTTGCTGCATATCTGAGTTGATTGAACTGTCTGAATGGTGAGAAAAGTTTTGGCGAAGATCTTTCTTCATGTTCTCGATGAAGAGATCAACCATCTCGTCTTTGGATAATGTGCCAGCATACTTCTGAGAAAATTGGTGGAACGGACTTGGAATTTCCTGGCTAGCGTTCCTCTGTTGGCGTTCTTCGAACTCCTTCTTATAAATCTGGATCTTCTTATTGATGGCATCATAAAGCTCGGCCCCTTCCAGAATAGAGGATTTCGGACACATACGATCCAATTTCTCCCAATATTTGGAGAGTCCTTGGCGCTTAAGACAAGGGATCATATGATGATCATAGCCAAATATTGGCTTCCACTTCCAAATCCATGGAATACCAAATTCTATAAAGAAGAGGCAAATATTACTACTATCAATCTGATAGAGTTTTTTACAGTCATTGACTGCTGGAGAATATATCATCCAATCTTTTATAAAAGATTTCATGTTGTCAGGAAAAATGGAAGAATCTGTTCCAAAATTTTTCCACCATGAGAAAAACCAATTTGGAATTGGTGAATGGAAGCAATTTTCACAAATCTTCAAGAACCAAGAATGTCTTTTGTTCTCGTTATCATAAAGTAGGACTTTAGATAAACCATGGATATAATCCCAATAATTAAATTTAAAATTGCATTTATGAGCGGGTGAAAACCATTCTCGCTCAGCAAGAGGGGAAAAACCCCATTCCTCAAAAGATATAATCTTTTTGATAACAAGTTTAGAAAAATTAAAATTTCCATTTATCTCATCTCTACTATTAGAAGAATGATGAGTTATTTCTACAGATTTGGTAGAAATAAGTAAGCCTTCATAAAATTGGCGCTGTCTTAAAGAACCATGGACAAAAGCTGTTTTATTAAGATATCTCTGAAGAATAAAATCAGGATTGTCTTTCCATTGAAGATCTTTTTCTTCTATGAGAAGTATGACTTCTTTTTCACCAGTCTCATGAAACTGAGAGTTGGAAGAGTCTTCCTTGCTAATATTAGCATATGAATTCGAAGCTGCTAAAGATTCTTTAGCCTTCTGTTCCTTCTGTTCCTTAATATGATTAAGGTATGCAATCACAAGAGGATGGTCCTCTGGAAGAGTATCCAGAAAATCTGGAGTCTCTTTTGCCTTATCATGTGATAAGTCTGAAGCTATCAGCTTTTGCTTACCCATCTGGGCGATCACTTTATTTCCGCTTCCCCTATGAGAGGAATTTCTGCCACCTCGGCCTCTTCCATAGGAAGAACTGCCACCTCCTCTATAAGAGGAGTAAGAGCTGTAAGAGCTCATGCGACGTTCATTTGAATGATCTCCACGATACCTAAACATCAAGAAAGATATTCACGAGTTAAGAAATCAGGTAAATGATTATCTTTACCTTTGATATGCTGAATATTAAAATCAAAAGGAGCAAGATGAGCTTGCCATCTGGCAAACATCTGCTTAGAAACATCATGCTTAAAGTCTTTTTTAAACATAAATTGAGCAGAGCTACAATCAGTTTTTATTAAAAACTTTTGATTATATAAATCATCTTGAAATTTAAGAACACACTTAACAATAGCAAAGTGTTCTTTAACTACAGCAGAGTAGTTAAGCTGGGCATTTTTCCATTTTCCAGAATAAAATCGAATAAGAAATTCCTGTTTGGAAATGGGATNCTTTTGGAGCATTATGTAATTGCGACGTGAATCCCTTATTATGTGTTTCGCTGGTATAAAGTGATTATGCTATATACGCGTGTGTATACGTATAATAGGTATACATAAATGTAATATGTTAAGTCGACTCTATAACCTTGTTAAATCAATAATACCCTATTATGTCAGTATGGTTTCTCGAGGATCAACAAGGAACGCCCTCAATGGGGGAGGTATCAATGGCGTAGCCCCACCGACAGTTCGGGGACGGACACGAGCCCAAGGTCGAGGTCACGGAGGTGTCCGAACCGCTAGTTCGAGTACGACCCCATAGCCAGCTAATTTGGCTATCGGTAGGAGCCAAGGGAGCCAAGGAAGAGAGATTCCCCTCACAGAGAAAGTGATGGCTGAACAAATGACACAAGTCCTCCGGGAAGCATTGCCAAATATGCTTAAAGAGATGTTGGGTGACAGACTTAAGGATAATGAAGGCGAAGAGGAAGGAAGCATTCGACACAAGAACACTCAAGCCCCCGAAGGGGTGGAGGTGTCCGATGAAGAGAAGGTGGAGTCGCTCATCATCAAGAGGACTGAGTTGACTGCTAAAGAGAGAGGATGCAGTTATAAAACCTTCAAGGGCACCAGGCCGAAGGAGTTCAAGGGAATAGAGGGCCCAATTGGGCTGATGAACTGGATAACTAAGATGCAGAGTTGCTTCAAAATTTGCAGATGCATGGTAGATCAGAGGGTGACCTACGCTGCTACCACCTTTGTGGACTATGCACTGCACTAGTGGGAGTCTGAGTGTGCAATCAGAGGCGATGAGGATGTTGCTGCCATGACGTGGGAGCAAATGAAAAAGATGATGATGGATAAGTAATGCTCGCAATCGGAGGTAAACAAGCTAGAATCCGAATTTCTAAGATTAAAGCAAGGATCGTTGTCAGTTCAAGAATATGTTAACGAGTTTCTTGAGAAAGCAAGATTCGTCAGTTACCAGGTGGCAAAGGAAGATAGGTCGTTTCAAAGACGGCTTAAGAATCGAAATCAAGTGATACGTGGACATGATTAAACCAACCACATTTGTACAGGCAGTGGAGATGGCAAGGGTGGCCAAGGAGAACAACGCTAGAGAAACTTGTGACAGAAGAGAGATGAAGAGAAGGTGGGAAAGAACAAGCAAGTTCAACAAGAAGCCCAACTGGGCTCCGACTCTGTTAAAAACACAAAGTGAAGAATTCACTATTCCTTCGTGTAACAAATGCAACAAGAGGCATAAGGGAGAGTGCAGAGCGGGGAGCCTGACATGCTACAAATGTGACAAACCAGGACACACTGCGCGAGAGTGCCCAGAGAGGAGAACTTGTTATGAATGTGGAGCTACAGGACACCTACGACCTGACTGCCCAAAACGTCAGAATGGTGCGACACCTTACGTGAAGACAGTAAATAACGGGTTTGGAAAGAGATCGGAAAGTAGGAAGGAATTACCTAAGGGTCACGGCTGAGCTTACAACATGACCTTGGAGGAGGCCAAGGAAACACCCGACGTCGTATCTGGTATGTTCCCTATCAACGATGTGTATGCACATGTATTATTTGATTCGGGTGCGAATGGTAGTTTTGTGTCTACTGCCTTCTGTCACTATTTGAATAAGAGTGCCTGTAGACTAGACAAAACCTACACTGTAGAAACAGCCGACGGTAGTCAGTGTAAGGTAGATGAAGTATTTGATGAATGCACGATTGTGATAGATGGGAAGGACTTCCCAGTTAGGCTTATGCCAATGTGCCTAGGAGGTTTTGACGTAGTCTTGGGGATGGATTGGATGTCCAACAATCATGCACAAATAGTATGCAATAAAAAGATGATCAAGATTCAAACTCCGAAAGGAGAAACGATCCGGGTTTACGGTAATCAAAAGAAGGGTTGCGTAGGGTTGATCAATGCAATTAAGGCGAACAAGTGTCTGCGGAAGGGTTGTGTGGCTTACTTGGCATATGCCATCAACGCCAAACTCGAAAAGAAGGTAATACATGATGTTCCAGTGGTAAGGGATTACCCAGAGGTATTTCTGGATGAATTACCAGGAGTACCACCGGAACGTCAGGTAGAGTTCCGAATTAATTTGGTACCAGGTGCGGTACCGATCGTAAGGGCACCTTATCGGTTAGCCCCAACAGAAATGCAAGAGCTGATGAAGCAATTGCAGGAACTCTTAGATAAAGGATTTATAAGGCCAAGCTCGTCCCCATGGGGAGCACCGATTTTATTCGTCAAGAAGAAAGACGGCACGATGAGGATGTGCATCGATTATCGGGAATTGAACAAAATCACGATAAAGAACAGATATCCATTGCCAAGAATCGACAACCTTTTCGATCAGTTGCAAGGAGCCAGCTGCTTCTCGAAAATCGATTTGAGTTCAGGTTAGCATCAGTTGAAGGTTCGAGAAGAGGACGTGTCGAAGACCGCTTTTAGGACTCGATACGGACACTACGAATTTGTAGTAATGCCATTTGGATTGACAAACGCACATGTGGCATTCATGGACTTAATGAATCAAGTATGTGGACCGTATTTGGACCAATTTTTCATAGTCTTTATAGATGACATATTGATCTATTCTAAAAATAAGGAGGAGCATGAGCAACACTTAAGGTTGATCCTCGAACTGCTGGCAAATGAACAATTGTACGCCAAGTTCTCAAAATGTGAGTTTTGGTTGCATGAGGTACAATTCCTCGGTCACGTAGTCAACGAGGAAGGAATCAAGGTGGACCCGGCTAAGATTGATGCAGTTACGAACTGGAAATCGTCAAAGTCAGCATCGGAAATCCGAAGTTTTCTAGGTCTAGCAGGATATTACCGAAGGTTCATCCAGGATTTCTACAAAATAGCAACGCCCTTGACAACGTTGACTAAGAAGTCAGTTAGGTTTGATTGGGGAACAAAACAAGAAGAAGCGTTCCAGACACTTAAGGAGAGACTAAGCACTGCACCGGTTGTATCCCTACCAGAAGGAGTAGAAGACTTTGTCGTATTTAGCGATGCGTCAAAAATGGGATTAGGTTGTGTGCTAATGCAGCGAGGCAAGGTCATTGCATATGCATCACGACAGTTGAAAGAACACAAGAAGAGATACCCAACTCACGACATGGAATTAGCAGCTGTTGTCTTCGCTCTAAAAATCTGGAGACATTATCTGTTCGGTACAAAGTGTATGATCTACACCGATCATAAGAGTCTTAAGTACTTGTTTGCAACGTAAAATAAACCAAATTTGATACATGGATAGTTCAATATGCTCATCGGCGCCTGACCCTGAGATGAAACTACTTAAGGATTATGATTGCGAGATTCACTACCATCCAGGTAAGGCAAATATAGTTGCCGATGCACTTAGTAGGAAGGAGAGAAATGAACCAATCAGGGTTCGAGCCATGTGGATGAGTGTTAAGGTGGAGCTTATAGACCAAATACGGGATGTCCAAAAGAAGGCTTCACTCGAAACAAACATCAGAAAGGAGAGAATGATTGGACAAATCAAGACTTTGACAGCTGGACCAGATGGAATATATAGACATGGGAATCGGATTTGGATTCCTAGCTTGGGAGATCTAAGAAATGTAGTGATGGATGAAGCACATAAGTCCAAATACACTATGCACCCNGAGAAAACAAGAATGTCATCAATATAAACAATAATAAAATTGCTGTAAGGATAGAAGATGTCATTCATAATCTGTTGAAATTCAGAGGGAGCATTTTTAAGACCGAAGGGCATAACCTTCCATTCATAATGTCCCATGGGAACATTAAAAGCCGTTTTATAAATATCTTTATCGGCTATTTGAATCTGCCAATAACCAGATTTTAAATCAAATTTTGAAAAGATAAGGGCCTGGAAAAGACGATCAAGAAGATCTTTCTTGTTAGGAATAGGGTGTCTAATCCATTTTAAAACTTTATTAAGAGGCTTATAGTTGATTACAAGCCGAGGAATACCTCTTTCCTGTTCCGAATGTTTGTTAACATAAAAGGCAGTGCAAGACCAGGGGGATTGGGAAGGTCGAATAAGACCTTTCTCAAGAAGACTGCCGATTTCGGCTTTACAAAGAACAAGGTAATCAGAATTCATCTGACAAGGTCTAGCCTTGGTAGGAATATTAATTTCAGAGAAATCATCTTCATAAGGAAGAGAAACGATGTGTTTCTTTCTATCCCAAAAAGCATTGGGATGATCATTGCAAATGCTTAGAGAAAAGTCGTTATGGATAAAATCAATCTTTGATTTTAGACGAGGGTGAGAAAGCTTTTCGTCTATGGTTAAAGAAGAGATTTCTTCTTTAAGAGAATAGAGATGAAAGGTTTTTCTATCAATACGATCTTGAAGAATGTCAAGAAATCTCTTAACAGGAGGGTCAATAAATCTGAAAATAATGGCTTTCTGATTGAAAGTACCTGTAAGACCATGCTCATCAATTTGAGTTATAGGATAAAGTTGGTAAATAAAAGGAAGACCCAGGATAATTTCATGGGAAATAGCCTTGGTCAAAAGGAAGTCGGTCGTTATGCAACAACCTTGATTGCAAATTTTTGCATTGGAAAGTTTAAACTTGATATCAAGAGCACCACCCCCTGCATGAGAAAGGGAGCAAGAAGTTTTTTCAAAAAATCTGCTAGGAATAAGTCCCTCTTGTATAACATTTAAATCGGCACCGCTATCAATCATAGCCAAAAATTCTTTACGAAAATGACCATCTATAAGAAGAGTGATTTTGGTAAACCATTTTTGAGTGATCATTCGACTGATAGTAGCGAGAGTAGCATTATCAGAAGGAGGAGTTTCAATATTAGAAGGCTGATTKGAAGCAGAAGAAGAGATATGTTCAGGTGCTTCAGTAGGAGCATGAAAAGTAGCATTCCTAACTAAAAGGTCTTGGCTTGCMGAAACAATTGCAAGATGCTTATGAAGAAGAATATTGTCTTCTTTTAAAGCAGAAATCTCAGACTTGAGAATGGTCACTTCTTTATGAAGATCAGTGACAGAAATYGCCGTAGAAGAAGAATTTTTATGCTGAAGAAGGCGATGTAATTCTTTCATAGAGTAATCAATATTGTTGATAGGAGGGGAAATAGCAGAGCTAGAACTTGGTTTATTAAAATCAAGATTTTCCAAAATCTCAGAACAAATCATAGGATCTTTAATTTTTTGTAAAAGTTTTAAAACTTTTTCATCAGTTAAAACATTTATATTTAGATCCTGAAATTGAGAAAGGAGTTTATAAAACTCATCATTGCTGTCTGTTGAGGTGTTAGTTTGAATAACATTGAGACAGTTCTTAGCACAAGGCTGACCAATAGCACAAGTATCACAAGGAGAAGATTTTAAATCTTCAGGATCTGAAGATAAATAAGAATCCTCAGCAGAATCATCTGACTCATCAGTGGAGCTAGAAGCGGAAACAGTATCAAGCTCTTCATCAGAATCTTTGAAATTGAGAAAGATATTTAAAAGAGAATCTTTCGTATTTTGATCAATGTTCAAATTATTAATTTTTTTCTTTGTCCAGCAATTTGCTGAAGAATGGCCAATCTTGCCACAGTTTTGACAAACAATGTTGTTTTTCTTAAAGCCTTGAGAATTTTTAGAAGGCTTTCTATGTTTGTAAATATCGGGTTTTTTAGAGTCATCAATTCTAGAGGATTTCTGTAAATCTTTGTCAAAAGTTTTTCTTTTAAACCTTTTTCTGGAATGACGATAACCAGAATCCTTATCACGAGATTTATGAAATTTTCTTTTGGGTTTCTTATAAGGAACCTCCATACCAAATTGGTCACAAAAATCACCAAGTTGTTTTCTTTGAAGTAAGTTTTGCTTACGAATTTGATGCTTTAGCTTCAAATCATTGCAAAGGGAAAGACCTTCTGCAATACAAGTACTGATTAGTTTACCATAAGTATAATCATCATAATTGACTACAGCAGAGTCCTTTTTGAGAATTTTACGGACTCTTTCAGCAAAA